GGTTTATGCTTGCTCTTAGAATAGATCTTTACTCTTTACAATCTTATATTTACAATTATTTTCTTTCAAACCATTGAAGATATTGTTTCAATTATCTTTTGGTTTCCAGTGTTGCTTCCACCTAGTCAGCTCTTAGTTAAATCTTTGCAGATTATATCTTTGTACATCCTCTGTCTTTTCTTTCTGGTTCCTCTAGAGATACATTCTTCATCTCTCATGTTTTTCTATGCTACTATCATGTGCCCAAGTATAAATTTATTTTTATTTATACTGATTGGAATTCATTAAGCTTTCTGAATTTGGAAATTGAGGTGTTTCACCATTTCTAGAAGTTTCCCAGTCATTATCTCTTCAAATATTAGATCTGCTCTATTTAGTCCTTCTTCTACTAGATTTGATTAAACATGTATTAGAGCTTTTGCCTTTGTACTCCATGACTCCAAACCTATTCATAATAGTTCCCATGTCTGATTCTTCATGCTGCATTATGGATAATTTATTTATATCTGTCTTTCAGTTTACTGATTCTCTCTTCTCCTCTGTCTAATCCAAACCTATATAGTCAACTAATTTTTTACAAGAGCACCAGGAGGACAGTATGGGGAGCAGATAGTCTCTTTAATAAATGGCGCTGAGAAAACTGGATTTCCACATGCCAAAGATTTAAATTGGACCCTTAGTTTACACCAGGTGTCCCCAAACTTTTTACACAGGGGGCCAGTTCACTGTCCCTCAGACCACTGGAGGGCCGCCACATACTGTGCTCCTCTCACTGACCACCAATGAAAGAGGTGCCCCTTCCTGAAGTGCAGCTGGGGGCCGGATAAATGGCCTCAGGGGGCCGCATGCTGCCCGCGGGCCGTAGTTTGGGGACGCCTGGTTTACACTATACACAGAAATCAAATCAAAATGGGTAAAAGACATAAACATAAGACCAGAAACAATAAAGCTCCGGGAAGAGAACATAGGGGAAGAGTGCCTGGACATCAGCACTGGCAGTGACTTCTTGGATTTACTTCTGGGCCCTCTATTCTGTTCCAAATATTCTTGTTTGCTTTTTATAATCCTTTGCTAGTTATTCATATTTCCATTTCCACTTTACATTTTAAATATATTATAAATACTTTTATTGTGTATACTATTCATAATATTTACAACATTCTAAATCTGTGTTTGATTCTGCAACCTGTTGTTTTGGAGATTCTAATTCTTGGTGGGTGCTTTTTTCCTTGTGTATTTTTCGATATTGTAAAATGAGCTTCATATTTACTTTTAAAACTTTAAATGTGAGATATTTTGAAATGTAATTTGAAGCCAAACTCTTCTAGAGACGATTTGCATTTACTAGGCACCCATAGCAGCTTGAATTAAATGTAATTCTTGGTTTGAAGTTTTGGTAACTACTCAAATGGTGTCAATTATGGCAGCAAACTTGCTTGAGCCCTAAATTATTAGGACACATTTTTTTCTCTTTCATTCATCACCACGTTTTAAGGCAGTGATGTATTTTTTAGGCCCATAAAGTGGATGTTTATATGTAACTCATGCTACCATCAGGCAATCTAATTAATGAGATATAAGCTTTAATGCTGTGGATTGACTTTTTACTGAATTTCCCACCTTGTGAGTCCTACCTCCTCTTGTTTTTCTAAGTTTTGTACCCTAAGTAACCATGCAAGGCAGAAGCCTAAGATCAGATTATTTGGTATTCAGTTTATCTTTCCAACTTCACTTTCAGCTTCTGATTGATCCTTACTTTCTGGCCAAGTTATCCGAGCATTTATAAAGATCTTTGCATATTTTATTCAGGATTTTAAAGTGTGTTCAGGTTGATAGTCAGGGTGCTTAATTTTCCATAGTTCACAAATGGAAAATATTAAACTCATAGTTCACAAATGGAAAGAAGATGAGAAAGGTACAGCTGGACTAGAAAAATTAACTGATTAAGGATGATGGAAAGATGCTGAAAATGATAATGTAGTAATATAAAACAAAATGTGCAATGTTATATGCATTGAGTTCTTAGTCATAAGGACCTAGGGAAAATGGAAGATCTTGACATCTGCAGTTACCCTGGTTAAGAGTAAAGATACGGTGGAAACAAGCATTAAGCAATGCATGACTGTATATTATATACCTACTTATAGACAAAACACCTGCTGTATACAGACATTTAACTCTGTGCTTACAAGAGGTTTATGTCATGAAAATTGCTCTTATAGTAAGCATAATCAACCTGAAAAAAGAAAGGTTAACAATTTGTGATTTTAACAGTTAAGGAATAGTTAAGTGCTAAACCTTACTGTACGGACTTTAACATCAGTAGGAATACAGAAAAGGCTGAGCTTTGTGTAAGGCCACCTAGGATAAGGTTTTCTTGAAATAAATTGAACTTCATCTGGGAATATGGGAAGTTTGAGGCAAAATTGGGCACAGGTAACAAGCTATAATATGTCAAAGCTTGGGAATGAACACAAAGAAGAAATAAGCACAAAATGTCCCCAACTTGATGAAAGGAGAGGGAAACAGTGAAACCCAAGGTTTTTGATAGGTTTTAATAACGTAGTAGAAAACTTAGAAACCATAGGAACACTTCGTTATATAGTCATGCGCTACTTAACAACAGGGATATATTCTGAGAAATGTTTCCTTAGGTGATTTCATTGTTGCACAGCCATCATAGAGTGCATTTACACAAACGCAGATGGTCTAACCCAGCAGTCCCCAACTTTTTTGGCACCAAGGAGCAATTTTGTGGAAGATAATTTTTCCACACACTGGGAGGTTGGGGATAATTTTGGGATGATTCAAGTGCATCCTGAAATTCAAGTGCATTACATTTGTGGTGCACTTTATTTCTATTATTATTACTATATTGTAATATGCAATGAAATAATTATACAACTCACCATAATGTAAAAATCAATGGGATCCCTGAGCTGCTTTTCTTACAGTTAGGCGGTCCCACCTGGGGGTGATAGGAGACAGTGACAGATGATCATGCATTAGATTCTCCTAAGAAGTGTACAACGTGGATCCCACAGTTCACAACAGGGTTCATGCTCCTATGAGAATCTAATGCCACTGCTGACCTGACAAGAGGCAGAGCTTAGGTAGTAATGCCAGTGATGGGGAGGTGCTGTAAATACAGATGAGGCTCAGCTTGCTGATGCCTGCCACTCACCTCCTGCTCTGCAGACCTGGGGTTGATGACCCCTGGTCTAGCTACTACATACCAAAGCCATATGGTATGTATTATCTCTGTTCCTAGGCTACAAATATGTAAAGCATGTTACCTTCTGAATACTTTAAGCAATTGTAACGTAAGTATTTGTGTATCTAAATGTAAGTAAGCACAGAAGAGACACAGTAAAAAATATGATATGAAAGTTATACTATAAAAGAGTATACCTGTATAGGGTACTTACCACAAATGGAGCTTACAGGAGTGGAAGTTGCTCTGGGTGAGTCTGAGCAAGCAGTGAGTGAATGTGAGGACCTAGGGCATTGTCTTCCTGTAGACTTTATAAACACTATATAATTAGGCTATACTAAATAGTTTTAAAACATTTTTCTTTCTTTGATAATAAATTAACCTTAACTTACGATAATGTTTTTACTTTATAATATTTTAAACTTTAAAAAAAGTTTTAATAGTAATATCTAAAACACAAACACATTGTACAGCTGTACAAAAATGTTTTCTTTCTTTATATCCTTATTCAATAATTGTTTCTGTTTTTAAATTATTAATTTATTTTTACTTTTTAAACTTTTTTTGTTAAAAACTAAGACACAAACACATACCTAGGCCTACACAGGTTCAGGACCCTCAATATTCCTGTCTTCCACCTCCACATCTTGTCCCACTGAAAGGTCTTTGGGAGCAGTAACATGCATGGAGCTGCCATCTCCTGTGATAACAGTGCCTTCTTTCTTTTCTGTTTTTATTTTTGAGATGAAGTCTCACTCTTGTCCTCAAGGCTGGAGTGCAATGGTGTGATCTTGGCTCACTGCAACGTCTTCCTCCCAAGTTCAAGCGATTCTCAGCCTCAGCTTCCTGAGTAGCTGGGATTACAGATGCCTGCCACCACGCCCAACTAATTTTTGTATTTTTAATAGAGATGGGGTTTCACCAAGTTGGCCAGGCTGGTCTTGAACTCCTGACCTCAGGTGATTTGCCCACCTCGACCTCCCAAAATGTTGGGATTATATTAGTAAGCCACTGTACCTGGCCAACAGTGCCTTCTTTTGGAAGATCTTTTGCAGAACCTAACTGAGGCTGTTTTTACAGTTAGCTTTTTCTTTTCTTTTCTTTTTGCATAGAAGAAATACACTTTGAAATAATGATAAAAAGTATAGTATAGAAAATACATAACATAGTTGTGTTATGTAAAAATAGTTGATGTTTACTAAATGGACTGTACATACATACTTTGTATGACCGGTAGATTTGTTTGCACCAGCATCACACAAACACATGAGTAATGCTCTGTGCTGATACTACCTCACTAGGCAGTAGAAAGTTTTCAGCTCCATTGTAATCTTATGGGGCCACCCATGTGTATGCAATCTGTTGTTTATTGAAGCATAATTAGGTGATGCATAACTATGATATATTAGAAAATACAGAGATATTGAAGACTCTTCAGGAGAAGATCGACATGTTTAAAGTTATGTTAAAATTTAGCCTCATTGGGGGCTGGGTGTGGTAGCTTACGCCTGTAATCCCAGCACTTTGGGCAGACAATGGGAATGGATCACCAGAGGTCAGGAGTTTGAGACCAGCCTGGCCAACATGGCAAAACACTGTCACTACTAAAAAAAATACAAAATTTAGTGAGGTCTGTAATCCCACCTACTCAAAATATATTTTGTTAGGGAAGAACCCTTTTATTATTATATGCTCTTTATTAGATTATGTTAAAAAAAAGATATATAAATTTATATAGTATTAATATAACATAATAATGTATATAATTCCATTTTTGTTGTTTTAGAGGAATTCCAGGGAAGAAATGTGGTACAATCATACTTACAGCAGAAGAATTAAACTGTTGCAGGGTAAGTAAATATGTCTTTGGTTTAGAAAAATTTTCATACTTCAAATGCTATATCTAAAATTGTACTTAACTAATTATTTTTAAGTAACTGTAGAAAAAGTATTATACAATTTTATAATCCATAAAATATCATTTTAGATACTTAGTCTTGTGACCAGAGAGAGTTTTTCGTAATCTGAAAAGTATGATGAATTATTTTAATAACCTTTTTTAAAAATTGAAAGTATTAAAATAAAACCTAATATTAATACTGCTTTTTAAGCATTAGTATAAGGAATTATCAGTTATACCAGTCAGTTTAATTACTGTAAAACCACTGAAGACTTGTATATAATTTTGAAGGAATATTTCTTGTCATTTGAGTTTAGCCCTTTTGTATAACATATTTTCCCCCAATTTTTCTGATTTAATTAATTCAGAATTCATATTGATTCCTTCTCTTGTTAGCTTGTTCTTCACATTTGGAGAAATGATTAGCTGCCACTCTAGCTAGCAATATGATTGCCTAGAGTGCATACTCTGTATTTTTAGAAGATTGCTACTTTTAGTTGTGATTTGCTGATGAACTGGTTGACTCCTGTTTAATGATTTCACTGTTGTCCAGAAATGGGATGATAAGCTATGACATTCCATGCTGAAAGTAATGGTGGCTAGCCAAATCTGAAGTCAATATCATCTGTTTAATGTAGGCCAGCAGATCTCTGGGAATTGGTATTTCCAGAGGAAAAAAAAAATTTGCCTAGATTATACCTCTAGTGCTCTTTATTTTTAATTGCAGGAACAGAAACTCACCCCAAATACCAAAAACTTAACATGTTGATATTGACCATGGTTTTTATATAGAGACCATAGCTTGTTTTATTATCTCAAGAAGTTGCCTTTTTAACTTTTAGATAAATTCTGTGGCTTTCTTATACAAATACATTTCTGGTCAGACATGGTGGCTCATGCCTGTAATCTCAGCACTTTGGGAGGCCAAGGTGGGAGGATCCCTTGGGTTCGAGGCTACAGTGAGCTATGGTTGTACCACTGCAGTCCAGCCTGGGCAACAGAGCAAGACCCTGTCTCATTCGTGTGTGTGTGTGTGTGTGTGTGTGTGTGTGTGTGTGTGTGTGTATACACATTCTGTATCTCTCAAATGTAGATAGATGACAGCTGAGACAATATGCTCAGGAAATCATATGATATTACTTGTCAGCAAATGTTATAAACTGGATACAGTATTCTAATTTATTACATACCTTTGAGATTCTGGGGGTGGAGGTAGAACAGTGAGATAACAATAGGAACTACAACAACAGGTGAGTGGAAATAATTAAACACTAATATTAAAATTTAAGTCATTATAAGTAATATGTACATTGAAACTTCCTATTCTTCTTATTGTTCTTGTCCCCCTGGGCATGTCACAGTCGTATCAGCCTCAGTTTTCTCATCTATAAATACCCAAACATGCCCACATATAATGCTGTTAAAGACCATCAGACTCAAGTTAAGTTTTGGTTTTGCTACTCATTTGTACTTTGTCTTATCAAGACACTTGACTACTCTGAGTTTACTTTTCATATTTGAAGGGCAAAAAACAAAAATATGTGAACTAATCACTAGACTGTTTTGAATAGATCTTCCAGTCCTGGCAATCAACCACCATAACATTAAGTTTGGTAATATAATATATACATAAGTAGTCTGCATATACTAATCAATGCCTTAGAAAATATAGCATAACTATTTAAAGGCAGAGATGTTACCTATCATCCTGGTTTTTTAGTTAAAAATGATACAATGATTTTTTTTGATTATATTATCTAATCATTGTTTATACTTCTTGTCTCAATTTGTAAATGTTTAAGATAATGTATGTTTTGCGTGATGAAAGAGGAAAGAAAAAAAGTTCACAGTCAATAAGATACATATTCTTTGTGGTGATAATAACATGCTATTTTGTCAAAATCTTGAGTTTATTAAGCAGATTTTGTGTAAATATGCTATGAATACAATATTATCAGTTCTATTTCAAAATAGATCCAAGATACCATGGGCACAGCTTGAGTATGGACAGGCTGCATCCTAAATATCTTCTGCTTTCAGAAGTATTCTGAAGTACTTCTGAAAGTAGAGGATATTTAGGATGTTCTGTTCTCTTGTTGGAAGAGCCTGGAAAATTATTTTACCAGTTCCTGGTAAGTGAAAGGGAATGTGTCTTTTAGTGGTCTAGGTATTTTTATCTCTCTTTTTACTATTAATTCTATAAGAACATCTGGAATTATCTTTCAGTGAGTCAACACATATTTTTTATAATTAGAAATTATAGATCTAATATTTTATCAGTGTTGTTTAAAATCTTGGTGTCACTTCATTTTATGTTTTCTACATCCTGATTCTTAGCTACAGCCTTATTGAGCATCAATGTCATCATTAATACTAATAAACTTGAAATAGTATTTCATTGCTATATTAGTGTAGTAGAATGCACAAGTGTACTCAAAGCAATGTTCATAGTTTCTTCAGAAGAATTGATGCTTTTTAAATTTATACTTTAGCAAACATTAAAAGTATGGGGCATTATTATTTAGAATGTTGAGTGTCATGATTTTAATTCACCCACAACATTATAAAAATCTGTATTTTTTTCTTTAAAACAATTAGTTATTAACTTTTGCAATGAACATAGGCTTTGGAGTCAAGACACCTAAATTTTAGTCTTGCCTTTTTCACTAGTCAGCTGAGTGAGGTTATATTGTTGTAGATTTAACATATGCCTTTGTAAAATGACAATATCTCTTTTAAAACCAGTTTATTAAGGTATAATTGGCATAGAAATAGCTGCACATTATTTCATGTATTCAACATGGTGAGTCTGGAGATAGATATATACCCATGAAACCATCACTACAATCTATGTCATAAATATATTAGTCACTTCCAGTGGTTCCTCCTACAATGCTTATTTATTTATTCTTAATATTTTTATGATTATAAACAGCATAAGCTGAACCCTCTATTTTTAAATATACAGTGCAGTATTGTTAACCATAAATACCATATTGTATATAGTAGCTTTCTATGACTTATTCATCCCATATAACTGAAATTTCGTGCTCTTTGATAATGCTTTCCAGTCTCCTCTTCCCTTCAATCCCTGGATACCATCATTCTGCTTCCTTCTTCTATGATTTTGATTATTTTAGAATCTTCATGTAAGTTGCAGCATGAAGTACTTATCTTTCTATGTTTGGCTTATTTCACTTATACAGTGTCTTCTAAGCTCATCTATCTTGTTGTAAATAGAAGGATGTTCTTAATTTTTAAGGCTGAATAATATTCCATTGTTTTATATGTGTATATGTGTGTGTGTGTATGTGTGTGTGTGTGTGTGTGTTTATAAATTGTGTGTGTGTGTGTGTGTGTGTGTGCGTGTGTAACATTTTCTGTATCCATCCATTTGTTGATGGGCACTTCGTTTGCTTCAATATCTTGACTTATTTCTGAATAATGCTAGAATGAACATGGGAGTGCAGATAACCCTTCACGATACTGATTTCAGTCTTTCTTTGGATTTATACCCAGAAGTGGGATGGCTGGATCATATGGTAGTGCTGCTTTTAATCTTTGAGGAACCTCCTACTATTTTCCATAGTGGCTGCACTAATTTCCATTCATACCAACAATGCGCAAGAGTTTCCTTTTCTCTACAACATCACTGACGCTTCTTCACTTTGTGTTTGTTTTATGATAATAGGCCTTCTAAAGATGTCAGCTAATCTTTTGTATTGATTTGCATTTCTCTGATGATTGGTGATGTTGAACACCTTTCATATATGTTTTTCTCATTTGTATGTTCTTATAGATATGCTTATTCATTTTCTTAGCCCATTTTTAAATTGGGTTGGTTTTCTATTTTCATTTTTATTTATTTTAATTTCTTTGCTATTGAGTTTGTAGGAGTTCTTTATGTGATTTGGAAATTAACCTTTATGGTATACAGTATCTTAATCCATTTTGTGTTGCTATAAAAGAATATCTGAGACTAGGTAATTTATTTTTAAAAAGAGATTTATTTTTCTCACTCTTGTACCAGCTGAGAAGCTGAAGAGCATGGTACTGGCTTGTGGTAAGGGTTTTTATGCTGTTTCACAATGTGGCAGAGAAGGTGAAAGTGGAAGCAGACGTTTGTGAACAGAGGGAAACCTGAGGGGCCCCCTAGCTTTATAAAAACCCACTCACAAGAGAATGAACTCATTCAGAGAGAATTAATCCAGTCTCACTCAAGACTGTGAAAACAGCACTAACCTATTCGTGAGGGATCCACACCCATAACCCAAACACCTTCCATGGGGCTCCACCTCCCAGTACTGTTACTTTGGGCATCAAATCTTGACATGAGCTTTGGAGGGGACAAGCCATAGCAACCACAGAATATTTTCTCTCATTCTGTAGGTTGCTTTTTTATTCTATTGATGATTTTCTTTGCTGAGCAGAAACTTTGTGGTTAGATGCAATCCCATGTGTATTTATACTTTTGTGGCCTATGCTTTTGGTATCATATACAAGAAATAACATACAAGGCCAGTATCACAAGACTCTGTGTTTTCTTCTAGAAGTGTGAATATTATTACTACTTCCCTTAGATGGATACTCTGCAGGAAAGAAATGTGTTGGGATTCGCTCAGTGTGGCTGGCAAAATATTAGGGAAATAATAGAGAAAGTTGGAAGATTGTAGTCTCAAACCTTTTGGAAGGCCAAAAGGTTTTAATGGAACAGGATGAACACAGCCAGTTCATTACATTAGAATTTTAAGTCATATGATACGATTAAGATAATAAAACTTCCCAGGTTAAGACTGTTTACCCCACATTCCTTTGTCTCTGTTTACTCATTTAAACTTTATGCTGGAAGGTCCTCTCAGGGGAAGGTCAAAGGGGAATTACCTGTTAATGGTGTTTACTCTGGGCCCCAGAACCAAGACCTTTTATCATTTGTCAAACCATTCTTTTAACCATATTAATTATCCACAAGTGTGTTGACTTAGAACCTCTGTTATGAAATCTATACTGAATAAATGTGAAAAGGACAGGGAGTCATCATCACTTAGCTGCAAATACCCTTTAAAAGCAGCTGACGACCATCCCTAGCCCACTCAGATTCACTGTGTTCTAGTGTGTGTGAGTGCATTCATTCATCCGGTCATTAAGTCAGGGTCTGCAGGACGGACCTCCATAGGTGGTGATCACTGTCTCAGGTGGTGACCCCAACTCGATGCCCGTCATAGCTGGCACTGAACAAGGACACTGATGTGACTGATGCCACAGAAATGGTAGCATTTAAGAGATGTATGTCATACATTTATACAAATATTTATTTGTAGTGTAATAATCCTAATTAACTTATTTTGACATAGTTTTATTCAAATGCTCATTTTATACTTCATTAAATGCCATAGTGAAAACTAACGTAGTTTTAGAAGTTTTGTTGGGAGTATATCTTCACTCAGTAATTTTTTTTTTTAAGACAAGGTCTCACTCTATCACCCAGGGTGAAGTTCAGTGGCACAATTATGACTCACTGCAGGCTTTGAACTCCTGGGCTCAAATGATCCTCCTACATAGTCTCCCTACTAGCTGGGACCATAGGCATGTACCACCACACCTGGCTAATTTAAATTTTTGTTGTTGTTGTTGTTGTTGTTGTTTGGTAGAGATGTGGTCTTGCTGTGTTGTCCATTCTGGTCTTGAACTCCCAGACTCAAGTGATCCAACCTCCGCTTGACCTCCCAAAGTGCTTGGGTTACAGGCATGAGCCACTTTGCCTGGCTTTTCATGTCGTATTTTAAAAGTAGCTTGAAATGTTTCACAAAGAATATTTTTTATTTTTATGGATTGATTGATTCAACAGTGTTTACAAAATGTTACAATGTCCTTGGAACGAATGCTTAGAGTAGAATGGCAAGAAAAAAAGCAATACAAAACACAACAGCACAACCTTCAACCCTGGTCCTTGCTTTTGATGAACACATAATTTGTGGGAAAGCGAGACATTAGTCAGCTGACTATGCAGGGAAAATATGTCATGATATGTGCCAAGTGATTCAAACATATTATAAGAGAGTACAGTAGGTATCTAATTTATATTAAGCATCGCGGGGATCACTGGGCCTCTTTGAGAAAGTGACATTAAAGCTAAGTCCTAACGGAGTAGTTGTTTGCCAGCCCAAGGATAAGAATTCCAGCAGACACAGCCGTATAAGGTCCTGGAGTGGGAAAGACATGTGTGGGTCTGATGTGAGACAGCCAGGGATGAGCAGTGGGAGATGACTGAGGTAAACTTTTCCAGATGAAGGTGGAAAAGGCTGGTCAGAGCCCATTCGATGTTGGCCTTGATAGACCATGTTAAAGATTCTGCAGTTTTCCTAAATGCAAGAGAAAGCCTTAAAGCATTTTAAGTTGTGAGCAACATGAAATGTTCATGTTTCAAGAATCTTACTACTCTGTCTGCTGAATGGAGAATGGATTGGATACATGAAAGAATGGAAGTGGGAGTAATGAATAAATGTCACTGTACATGTCTGGATGAAAAATAAGATTGAAACTGGAATGAGGTGGTGGCAGTGGAGCCCAAGTAAAGAGTTGAGCAAAATTTTAGAGATAAATGGTGCAACTTGTGGTGGATTGGATAAAGGGTCAGGGAAAGAGAAGAGTTAAGAATGGCTTCCTTGGGCACTTGAGTAAATGGCAACGCCACTAATGAGCTGGGAAAATTATAGGAGAAGCAAAAATTTCTGGACAGACATTCGATGTGCAGATTTGAACCTGTTGGAAGTGCCTGTGAAATGTCCAAGTGGCTTCATTCAATAGAACGTTCCTTATATATAGAGGATTAAAGAGAGGTTTTAAATATGTATCAGGTGACATTAAGCATAAGGCATAAAAACAAAACTTTGCAGTGATTCTTGTGTATTTCTAAAAGTACATAGATACCTTTCCTTCCAAACAAGATTTATTTTGTGCTTGATACAGATGTACCACTTAATCCCTGCTAAGCTGTTAACCTGGGTAATTACAAGCACATTATTTTTCTAAGGTTATATAATTTTCTGCATTGCAATAAATGTTTATTTTGAATCAGTTATTCATTTTGCAAGCCTTAAGGAATATAATTTGAAAAATTAAATTTAGTATTACATTTACCAATGAGCCAAAAAAAGTTCATAGTTTAGTAATAATACATCTCTTACGTTTTGTTCACAGTCTGTTTGAAATAAACATATTTCATTTTTTATTATGCATCTTACGTACACAGAATGTTTCTTGGAAGTTTATATTCTGGTCCAGGTGCTTTGGGAGAATGTGGTAAAGAGTAATGTTTTTCTACAAGAACAATGTCCTTTGAATGTCCCCAGATTCTTAGAAAGCTATTCTCTCCCAACAGCATTTTAATATATATGGAAATGAACGGGCATTCAAAATAAACAAACCAAACCAAACAGCTCGCCCTTTTCAATGCTGCTCTGGATTTTATAATGTGATCTTCCAGAATTATTATTTCACTGCTTCTTTAATAGATAGTTAGAATTTTTTGATCTTTAAACTTCAAATCTGAAAAGAAACATGATATGCTATAATAGGTTTGAGGTGATAGTGATGTCCATATTGTCCTTACCTCTGTGCTTGTTTTAATTTTCTTCAAAATATATATTGTCACTATGCCTGACTAGAATATATTCCCTGCTCTGTTAGAAATGTTCTCTGATAGAAGTTACCACAGCTACATGCTAAAAGTAAAGTCAAATAACACTATACCAATACTATGGGAAATTAAGAAATCTGACCTTTCTAAAGATAGCAACTGCCTTTTTCATTACCCTGTTCCAAGATTCTAGCTTGACTATTGCTTGAGAAATGTTTACTAAGTAAGTAAATGAGTGGATTAATGAATGATAAAGATAGCATCATGTTTTATATACTCTTCTGGAATTACTGAAAGGAAATAATAAAAAATTTAGGTGTATCCTTAATAAGTATAGATGGGCTCTGTAAGATAAAGAAGTGATGAATAAAAGAATGTTTTTTTAGACATTGTTAGCATTTTGTCATGTAATATTCAAAATTGTAACCTCTTTGTTTAATCTGAATTACTTTATCACACTTCTTTGCAACATTTTAAGCTTTCCTGTTCAGTTTTAGTGTTACCATGCAAATATGTAATTCAAGTTACAGAAGAAAATGAAGGTGCTTTTTTTCTTGAAGCCCAATATCATAAAAATTGTTTTTAAATGTAGTTATTGATTTATTATAGTACACTTGTATATGATTACGAAGGAACTTTCCTGTTCCTAGATTATAAACTGTGTGGTCAGTGTTTATTTTTCTTATTCCCCATCTAATCATCTGGTACATCTCAACATTTGATACATAGTAGATATGTTGTAGATACTTAGTAAATTTTTTTAATGAATAGGAATTTTTTAAGTTTGTTTTAAAAATGTGTACCTGTGTAACTGAATATATGATTGAGGATCCTATATATATAACATTGGGTACCTGGCATCACCTAGCCTAATATCACTTTTCAAGGGGAAAATGTTAAAAGTTTTTAAAAAGTAATAGTTTTGTAACTAGAATGAAAATTACCAGCAAAATTTTTAAAGTCCTGTAGTCCTTTAAAAAGCAATTTTATATTGTCTGGGATTCTCCCACACTTGGCCATTTGCATTAAAATGGTAAATTTGTTTTCTGGTCAAGTCTTGTTTGTGATCTGCAGTTTCCAATTATTTATAGCCCAGGTTTTGAACTATTTTATTAATTTTGTTTCTAGGATGCTGTTTTGATGCAGTTTTGTGCAAACAAATTGGATAAGAAGGACTTCTTTGGAAAATCAGATCCTTTCCTTGTATTTTATCGAAGTAATGAAGATGGCAGGTAGATTTGTCTTTTATTCATTTTAACTATATGGTAATAATGATACTTGAATTATAATTATTTTTTTCAGGGAAGCTCATTAAATTGCTAAATGGAGTAAAATAATTTGAGATTTTAAAAATTAATGGATTTTTGCATCTCATTGTACAACTTTATAAACGTTTTATATGTTTTGATACTTAAAATGAATAATTTCTAGTTTCATGGAAATATTTCCTCTTTACTTTTTATAAAATTATAACAACTGGGTGCAGTGGCTTACGTCTTTAATCCTAGCACTTTGAGAGGCCAAAGTGGGTGGATCACAAGGTCAGGAGTTCAAGACCAGCCTGGCCAACATGGTGAAACCCCATCTCTACTAAAAACACACAAAAAATTATTTGGGTATGGTGGTGTGTGTCTGTAATCCCAGGTACTTAGGAGGCTGAGGCAGGAGAATCACTTGAACCCAGGATGTGGAGGTTGCAGTGAGCCAAGATCACGCCACTGCGCTTCAGCTTGGGTGACAGAGTGAGACTCCGTCTCAAAAAAAAAAAAAAAAAAAAAATTATAACATTGACTTAATAGTATAGAAGAATTATATTTTGTGAAAACCTGAATGCTGAAACAAATATATTTTTTTATAGATTTAAACCTAAACCATTTTCTTAGAGAAGAGTGTGGAGCTTATGGGTTGCTTTTTTTTCTTTTCCCAATATCTTAAGTCTAACTTTCAAGGAAAATGTTCATTATATTCTAGTAATTTGAATACTTTTGCTAGTTATGATTAGACTAGTTTCTATAAATTTTTGAATATGTCTTTATGAGTTATATACCATAATTCAATATGTATGGATCTACTATTAAATATATATGACTGCTTTTTTTGTGATTCATATTGTACTATTAGTATTTGTGAGAATGTTTAGTTGTTAATAATATGGCTAATTTCTGTTGTCTAGATTTAAATAATAACCTTGCTATTTAATATCTATAGGACTAAGGCAAGTTTTTAACCTACATGAGATTTTCTTCTCACCTGTAAAATGGGGTAGTAATCATAGCTACCTCACAGAGTTGTTGATCAGATTAAACTAGTTACTATACAAAAAAAAGTCTAAATTTGTCCAACACATAAGAAGAACTTCAACATTAGCTAATATTGTTATTATGTTATAGTTAGTGTTTTCTTTTTTTAAAACGATGTGTAACATAACAGCTAAAGAGACCATGTTATTTGGAAATTAAAAATTAGGGGAATAGAATGGAAAAAAAATCTATCACTACTGCTACACTTATATATGAAACTATTCAATGTGTTATGTAATAAGTATAAAATGCTACATAATATAGAAAGTTTGCTGTTTAAAATGAATGCACTGGCCGTTTTAAAATGATGGTTTACTTATTGGGAGATGTTTGTTGATGCAGCTGCTGAGCAACTGTTAGATATATTTGCTATAGTGTTATACCATTAGATTTTGTGTATTTCCCTTCTTTTTTGGTGGTAAAATGTCAGCATGTCATATGCATCTGAACACTAATTTTATTCACACGAAAAATGTTGGAGAGTGAGGAAAATAATATTTGGCCAGGCATTTCAAAAATAGAGAAAAACCTCAAGAATGATTCAGAATTTCTTGAATGAAAATGTTCTCATGAACTACTTGCTCCCTGAATTTTCTATTTTTATTATTATTAGTTTTCTCTATAAAGATTAGTTGTACACTTGTAAAATTTCACTTTATCACATATCTAATGCTACCAGGGATACTTTCATTAGAAAATTTATTATGCTTTTAAAAATTATACTCACTCATTAAATAAAATGTATACATTAAGAAAAATATGAATAATCAAAAAATATCAAATAATTTGAAAAAACTTTTTAAAAATTGGTGAGTCTCATTTCAGAAAACTTTCATTTACACACAGAAACCTAGTTTGCCAGCTTGATCCAGATATTTTATGTATATATATGCATGCATATGCTTTGTTGTATTTTGAATATATACAGATGCTTTTATGCCTCACTTTTTGTCTCTTATTTTTAACTGCAAAGATTCTACCTTTATTTTTAATATGTATTTTAATAAGAAGCTATTTTAAAAATTGCCTAATACCTAGTATATTTGTGGCTTATTTCATATTTCATAAGAAAGAGAAAAACTTAACTTCTACTGGAAATATTAATTGAAAACCTTAATACTATATGGTCTCATAGTCATATCCTGCTTTGACATTTATTCAGTAACAACACTGATTTGTGATTGGGTAATACTTTTCCTTTGGAATCGTTATTTTTGGTAAATGGCCTCAAAGTATCATAATTCAGGTTTTTAGTAAAAATATATTTTCTTATAATACTATTTGTAATACATACACACATTATATAGAAATACTTATGAACATTAGGAAAAGCTACATTGGACTCCTGGCAGAATTTTTACTGGTTACACTAGGACTGGAATGCTTACCAGTGAGGATTTGCTGTATATATCATATCTAATACATTACAAATGAGAATGATTAATAGGCAATATGTGACTACATGCCTCATAAATATCTCAGTAAGAAGGACGTCCCTTCCTTCAGAGGAAATGTTTCAAGTATCAGAAGTATTTAATTACTGCAGCTGGTGACACTGGGAATATAAGAGAAATTTTGATTTAACCATAAGCAAAGAGGCCAAAAAGTCAGTAGATGGTTGAACATGTTGGTCTGAAGATGGTCAGCTGGTCTCTGAGTCTCAGTCTCCCTCCCTCTCTCTCTCTCTCTCTCTCTCTCTCTCTCTCTCTCTCCCTCCCTCCCTCCCTCTCCCTTCCCTCTTCCCCCTCCCCCCTCCCTCCCTCCCTCCCATCTATCTAGCTATTATCTTTCAAGCTATCTGTATTTATCACCATATCAAAGACTTGCTATATATTAGAATATGAAAGAAGAGAAATGTCCTTTGTAGATCTTTAAGAATGTATTGTATTTTTATGAATGGATCTTAATGAATATGTTTGTTTCTGAAACAAACCAACATACAGCTCTGCATTCCCTCTGTAATTTGTTTTCTATGAATATTTCTTGACAATTTTTGGTACCTTTGCCTTGTTTCATTTGTTTCCCTCTGTTCTGAGTCTCTACAGCCCTCCTCCAACTTCCCTTGTCCACTTTGATTTTTTTTCCTCTGCTTTAAACATCTTCATTACCTTTCCAGGAGTCTTCTCTGTCTGCCCCTCTGTCTTACTTGTAATGCTTATTCTCCCAGTGACTCCTAATTGCTTCAGGTGAGTCACCTCTGAGAACATTTGAACACAGATACATTTTTCTGGGCTCTAACAATTTACTGACATGAGTTTCCACAGATGGGCGAGGATACTACCAGGAAGGAGAAGGCACTAATACCATCAGCCTTATAATAAAAACTTGATCCTTATATAAAATATTATGTTCCATTTTATCTCTTAATAGAAACAAATCCCTCTTGCTTGAGAGTAGGTAAGTGAACTTAAAGATTTAACAAAGAGGGGATATTTCTTTGTGGGGGCTAGGGGAAGTATATTCACTATGGGATTTATTAATATTTTCATGTTCCATGACTGTTAGATACTTGCATTTGAAACACTTCATGGCCTAGGTCTTGAGAAGGCTATGTTTATGTATTGTTTCAGTGAAGATCACTCTAAATGTTTCTAGCTCAGGAATTGCTGCATCAGTTCACACGAAAAAAGAACATATATCCAGGAGCTGATTGATGTCTTAAGATTGAACGGTTTTGTGGAAACGACACTGGAATTTGAATTAGAAAACCGAGCTTAAGGCTCCGTGAATTCTGCCCCTTGTTGTGAATGGCTGTCTTCCTTCCCTTGGGAATTCTTTAGATATATAGAACCAACAGTTTAGATAAAGAAAGAACCACACACTGAATGATCTTTCTATTGATTCATGATGTGATTTTAAACTTAAATGGGCTCCTGGGGCTCCCTGAGAATTCTACCCCTTTTCCTTAATCTACGAACATTTTCTTTATCCCAGACACTTTATCACTTATGCTTCATCCTCCTCCTTTGCTCATTATCATGCATCCTCTTTCATAAGAACATGGTGGCAATTGGAGAGCTTCCTCATGATCTTACCACAACGTCAACCAATGTACTCTGCCTTCCTGAATGTTCTTGAAAAATGACTGGCCTCTCGATGGCAGCTCCTCCACTGATGCTCAGGATCCCATCTGCTCTCATCCGCTCAAAAGGCATTGCTCCCACCTTTCTCTCATGCGTCAGAAGTGGTGTCCTTTCTCCCAGATCTTTTCCTTTAACAGACAACCTTGCTGTTATTTCTTCCGTCTTGAAAATAAATATTGAGAGTAACAACAGCAAAACCTTTCCTGTGGTTAATCCATTTTTTCCCTTAAATTCTTCTAATTTCTTTGTTTTTCTTCACAGCCAGATTATAAAATGTTCACACACCATGCCTCAGTTTCTCTTCTCTTTCTTAAACCCACTCTAACCAGGTTTTTCTTCCCAGCACTCCAACACAGCTGCTCTTCTCAAAGGTGCTGGTGACCTTCGTATTCTTAGGGACCCAAGGATATTTCTCACTCCATCAGCATGTCACCACAAGGCTTACAGAGATTGTTTACAAAATAGCTTTAGGATTTATTGAATTTTCAGATTGCCTTTGGTAAATTTATCGCAAAGTAGATTATGGTGAGCTGATCTTTCAGGTTTTAAAATTACATGTCTCTTTTCATGAAGTGATGTAGCAGCAACAGCGTGACTGATTATTTATCTTCAACAAAAAAGTAAATAGAGGAATGACTACTAAAACAATAGATCAGTTAAAATAATCAAATCATACAAATAACTGAAACTTTCCTCTTTACAGTTTTACAATTTGTCATAAAACAGAAGTTGTCAAAAACACTCTGAATCCGGTATGGCAAGCATTCAAGATCTCAGTCAGAGCATTATGTAATGGAGACTATGACAGGTAAGAAGGACTGTTTATTCAAAAATCTTCAAATAAATTTTAAAAAAATTTACAAAGATTTGGGGAAGAGGGATAAGTTGGCTAATTAAAATTTGGTTAAATTTATTTTCCAAAAATGAAAGTGTGCAAATGCAAAAAATACATTAAATATTAATTTTAAATTTTTATTATTCAGAAGTTATTTTAGACTCTTGATTGCCTTAGCCTTTTTTATGGTACAGTCCTCCTAGAGTGAAACAAGTAGAAACAAAGTTTCAACACTGTGCTTAGATATATTGTCAACCCTGAAATACTCTTCAAAATGTTATTTGGTAGAACTAATGATTGCTGACTCACAAAATTTCCATAGTTGTAGCACAAGAGATTTTAATGTTTTACAATTACCTGGATAAGGTGGTCCTGAGGATTTTCCCATAATATACCTGAAGATTTTTTAATATCAGTTTTTCTCTTATGAAACTTTGTTGTATTATTATAATATAAAAACCTCACCCATCCCAAAAGAAAGGCAAATAAAAAGTAAAAATCCCAATCTTTATTTTGTTACGTATGATAGAAAAAGTCTATTTAACCCATATCATAGAACTATTGATTACCAATATGTTATTAAGTTTAATTTGAAATTTATCACGTCACTTTATATTCTGTTCATTTAGTAAGAGTATTCCCGTATTTAGCTGGACTCATTTTTTCCTAAGAAAGTGGTTCTCATAATGTTCTTCCTGATTAGCAGCATCAGTCAGCATCACCTGCTGATCTCATAGAAATTCAAATTATCTGGCTCCAGTCCAGACCTACTTAATCAGAAACTCCAGGAAAGGGTCCAATAATCCATGTTTTGACAAGTGCACCCCCAGTTGATTCTGATCTATGCTGAGTTTGAGAAACACTGCTTTAAGACAGTGATTTTCAAGAGTGGAGATGTGGGTGCATGCCATCCCTTCTAGGAGCTCTATCGAACTGCACATGCTTCCCCTGTAGACTCTTCTTACTCTCTTTAAGGAATCAATGAAGATTTTAGAAGCCTCTTTTAAGATGTGAATTGGATTGCAGTAATGAAATTGGCAAAGTTAACATCAAATTCATATGTAAAACCTACAAGCATACACTATTTTATCTAAGAAAATCAACTTATTTTTAAATTCTTAGCCATACGTTATTTTGATCTTACAAGTAACTTTATGTGTATGTTTTTTTTTCCATGTACAGAACAATCAAAGTAGAGGTGTATGACTGGGATCGAGATGGGAGGTAAGACTTTCCTTATCTTCTGACTCTTGAACTGGGTATACTTTAAGAGGCACATACATTGAAATAACCACATTTTTAATTGTAATTTTTAGATTGTGTATTTGTTTTGTTTTTCTAAATGTAACTGATGCATTTACATGAAATTTTAAGAATGAGTGTATTTTCTTCAACCTCGAGATGAAAATAGAGGTTTTTCTTATTTTCGGTAACTAGTAAAGATTTTCAACTTGGATCTGATTATTCTGGATGTCTAATTTTATAGCTGAAGTGAGTATCAAGTTTCTGCATCTCACAATCTCTCTGAAGATTTCTATAACACTGATATTCCATACTGTTCTAGGGAACACAAGCAAGCGTTGCATTCCCCACCAACCTCTGACAAAAAAACAAAAAAGAGGCAAACCACACAACAAAACTTTAACAAAACTTAAGAATTGTGTCCGGGGATTGCCAGACCAAATAGTTGTTTAGAGCTCTGCAATCACTGTAGACCTCTGCATATCAAAGTAGCTATTAAACACTTAAAGAGAGGAAACACACTACTTTTTCTTTTTCTTTTTTAAGCATATTTTGTTTCTACCGTTCTACATAGTATAATGATGTTTGCAAAATGATCTTAAGCCAAGGGACCCGGCAATGCTCAAATTCCATTTTGCCCTGGACAACTGCCTCTCTACATGCTCCCTGAAAGGGCTGAATATGCAGATATCAAAGGAGAATGATAAATGGAAAAGCAAAGAATACTTCTAATTTTTCACTTATTGCATGTCCTAAACTCGAATCCATAGCTCACTGAGAAATGGATCTGGAACATGAGGTTAAAGCTAAGCAATGCTTTTCTCTCTGCGTTATGTACAAGTCAGCAACCAACGCCAAAGAGATGCAAGTGTTTGGATACCTGAACACTCTTGTGAATACAGAAACAAGTTCAAGAAGGCTGGCCTGTGCTGAGGGGACACCCCCTTCTCATCCCTTCTGCTGCATAGGCAGGAAGATTCTCATTGGAGAGCCACATGCCAGCATGTGTGTGATATTTGCCTGTAAGCTAACTCACACATATGGGGCCATAAGTGTCCTGGAATTTGATGCAAATAATATATTTTTTTTTTGTTTCAAGAAAAAAAAGAGAAGATGGTGAGAGAAGTGGAGATTATTATCCCACAGTTTAGCTGCTACCAAATGAGTATATAAGACTCAAAGATCTCAATCTTTAGGTTGTATCCCAAACATTATTATGCAAAAGAGTTATAACACTGATTTGAAGTTTGCTCTTAGAGATAACTTCATAATAATCCATGCTTTGCTACCAATCTTTACATGTATGCCAGGTATTCATTTGGTTAATTTATTATGTAGTTCTACATGCATTCTGAAGAAATCTTACCAGAAAACCTTCTGTTTTTCCATAGAGACTTATGCTCCATTGCTTCATTAAACTTGATTCACTGAGAAAATGAGTTTTGTTGCTCAGAATAATAGTAAAGGAAATAATGCCAATCTCAGTAAAGGACTTTATGCCCTGTATCATGTAACCTATTCTATATTTTAATCGCAAATAGGCAAAAGTGATGGCTTTTCCCTAGTAACCCATTTCCCATTTAGAAACAAAAAGTGCATCTCACTACCAGAGCTCATTTAATTTTACATAAACACAAGATCCTTGAGGCTGAAACAAATCTGACTGATTTGCAGTGTGAAAATATAAAAACTGTTTTTGGAGTCATTTCTAAACAGAACTTGTGTCTAATCCTAACGTAACAGAAATGTACGTGATACTACATTAGAATTAGAGCAGAGTATTTTGGGGCACATGAGAAATGGTTTAAAACTTTGGGAAATGGTTTTAATTTAATAACATATATAGGGGATATAAATTTAGTTTTTATCTGCATCCATAAAAATCCAAAATTTGCAGAAAATACAGATATTGTATTGTCTTCCTTCAAAAGGTGAGTTTCTGTGACTTTCCTGTTGCCTCCAGTCTACTTCTGAGCCACAAGAATTTTGAGTAGCTTTGATCAGAATTATCTTAGAATTTAATGATCTTTTTTTCTGACTTGAGGACTTTGAGCATTCCTATTCCTAATACGATTTATTGAAGGTCTCTAGCATGCCAGGTATTCTGTAAGCAATTTTAGTGTTATTCCTTATTTAATTTTCACAATAAATGATAGGTACTACCTTCGTTACCTTTTGCAGATAAAGAAACTGAGGCAAAGAAGTAACTTGCCTAAAGTCATAAAACTAATCAGTGGTGGAACCAGGGCTTGAACCCTGGCAGTCACTTCCAATAGTATTTTCATAACAAATGCACTGTGTTTTTTATAGAATTGTAATTCCTGGCATTAAGTGAAAGGCTTCAACCTGGACATTGAACTTACTCTGTGATACTTTGATAATTGCTAATATGATAGTTGTGAAAAATAGGAGGAAAATTCAAGAAACAATCTAACATAATTTATTTTATTATCTGAAATTGTATATTGTCTGGAAAAGTGGATAAAGCATTTCTTAAACAGTTCTTATGTAACTAGAAGTTAGGTAGAAAGAAATGATTGTTACAGATTCTGAAAGAATCCTAATAGACATTGAAAGGGCCAGTAATATGTGAAAGAGAATTGACTTGGATTAAGAGAATGAGAGCTAGAATAAGAGCAAGAATAGCAAGAGAAAGCAAGGGTTTATTTACAGAGGATTTGGGCCATTAGATAGGAAAAGCATTTTTCAATAAGAAATAGTAATAACTTACTTTTGAGACATCAGATTTAGAAGCAAAGAAACTATTTAGATATTGAGATTTTATAAGCATATTTGTCATTGGGTCATCAACGGCTTGGGGGGAAGATTGGCAGTGATATAGGATGTCCTGATTTATTTTCAGATACTCATTTTACTATACCATCATTAACAGCATGTTGAAAAGAAGTCTAAGGAGTTAAAGCTTGTTTGAAAATAGAGAGATGGGATTGGAAGGGGAAATATTGGTGAAATTTAAACATTCCTTGGAAATGAATTATATGATTAGTAGAATCATTAGTGGAAAGGATTGTAATTTTGTAAATGTAAGTTTAATGCCTTTTTAATGTTTGAGTAAAGTGCTCTTTTATTACTCCAAACATGATCTATATTTTAATGTAAAAAATTCAGTGTATAATTCTATATAATCCATTTTCACCAAGAAACCTTTTTCAATGTTAGCAAAATGATCACTTTGGAGATGCCATATAAAAAGCAACATTAACATAAAAATTAATTCTTGATAATCCTTTCAATTTAATAACATCTTATATATGAAACTTGAAAGGCACATTCATCTCCAATAAAATATAACGCATAACAGTTTTATAAAATCCTGAAATTAATTTTATAATTTAATAATAATGATCACTGTGTGGATATTTATAAAAATTGATAATGAAGCTTATGATTATGTGTAGTCTAATAACATGGTTATTATACTTTTTACATGTTTTTTTAAACAGACAAAATTGCCCAATATAGATTTTTTTAAAAAATCAGAGTGACTATGATAGGACTCATTATATTTCATGATATAATGATCGACAGAGATGGTGTCCTATTATTTATTTTTGTGTTCCTGTCATCATTGATATTTGTCCTAAATCCTGTACATGTGTCATTTTTTACTTTATTTGTTGATCCAGAACTTTTAATTCTTCTTGTTAAAAACCATTATTTGCTCAGTGGATTTTTTTTTTTGACAGCTTGAACTAACATTGTCTAATGGAAATATAATGCAAGTCACATAACAATTTTAAATTTTCTAGTGATTACAAAGAAAAAATAAACCAGTGAGATTAATGTAGTAATATATTTTATTTAATCCTGTTTCCAGAATAATATCATTTTAATATAGAATTAATATAAAATCACTAAGAAAGATCTTTACTTTTAAAAAATACTAAGTTTGAAATGTGGTATATATTTTAGGTTTACAGTACATCTCAATTCATACTAGCTACATTTGAAGTTATAGCAGCATGTGGGTTGGGGCTGCCATATTGGATGGTGCTACACAAACTAATGAAGTCCATGTAATATGTATCATAAGTAGCTTTATATCAGATGAAATGTTTGTCTACATTTATAGAAGTCTGGAATCATCTCCTTACAAAGTGGGGAAGAGCTACTCAGATATCTGTATTATTTTGTATATAAATTTAGTCACACAAAGCCAATAAGGCCATGTGCTCTTTCAATCTAGAGAGAATATATCAGTCAAATATTAAAGTGGCAGCCAGGCTAACAAAGCAAGATGCTATGAAAAAAATCAAAACATTAGCTGGGCATGGTGGCGTGTGCCTGTAGTCCTTGCTACTTAGGAGGCTGACACAGGAAGATAGCTTGAGCCCAGGAGGTTGAGGCTTCAATTAGCTGTGATCATGCCACTATACTCTAGCCTGGGTGACAGAGTGTGACACCTGTCTAAAAAAATGTAAAAAAAAAGTAAAGTGAAAAAATGCTTTATTTGCTTACAGTCACACTTTGCTTTACTAGCTAGAGTGTTTCAGACAATTGTGCTAATAATATTCACAGATTGGGAACTTCAGGAACTAGTGTCCTTTTGCATCAGAATTCAGAGCATTTTTTACTAAATTCATCGACTAAAATTAAATCTGTTAGATACATCTCGTGAATCTATAAAGCATACAAAAATGTGGTAATGCTGTAGAGTATGTAACCAGTTGACATTAAATTAGGTATCTTGAGCTAATCTAGGATAGAAGAGCTATAGTTATCTGTTCTTTTTATTGAAACACATTGACAAGGGGCTGAGAATTACAGAGGCATTGCTTGACCTTGGTATTAGTAATCAGTTGAAATGTATTTAATTTTCAACAAGTTAAACCACAATATTAAAATCATTACTGTATTTCTCATTATTTCTTTTTTTTTTTTTTTTGTCTTTTTTTGAGATAGGCAGATGACTATTTCTTTAAAAGATGTTAAGGAAGAATATTTAAAGTTCATTTTAACAA